AAAAATAAAAAACCATAAGAAAACATGTAGCCCTATCTAAAATGACCCAACCAGAACTCGTATATAATGCCACATGTTTTCTGATATATATTAACGATCTAAGAACATTTTCAGACCATTAGGAAATATATATGAAGATGATAATACGGTTTATGGAAGCACTACCCAAAATCTACAAAATTAGAACCCGGAAGCTGATCTCACCACTGATCTTGCTCACACAGCTCTATAGAATAGAATTGGATGGTTACTTTTGTTTTGCGGCATATCAAGCGATGTGGATTTTTTAATATTGAAATCTAAATAATTTTTACGCAATTTTTATTTTTTGTGGGGAGACAATAATGCTTTTAGTGATACAAGTCTTATTAATTAACCCATAGCTGGAGGGAGAAGAGTTAAATCCATACCTTTCACAAGTGAATATATCGAAGCCAACGAGAATTGGAAATCGGCTCTCCATTTAACAATTCTGAGTAATTACCTATTACTGACCAGGCTCGGCGTTGCTTAACTTTGGTGATCGCATGAATGGAAAGAAACTGGCTTGTAACCAAGTTAATATTTGGTCATCACCTAGAAGGCCCTCAGTTTCCTCCATTCATGGTCAACCCTATCCTTTCAATGAGGTTCGTTTGGAAGTTTAACATAGGTAACATTTTTTTTTTTTTTTTTTTTTTTACAAAAGCTTCGAAAAGTCAAACATTTTTATAAGGATGAGCTGTACATACTAATGCGAATAACAAAAACCCTTTCGTTGTACCGTGAAGTTGTATCAGTCCATGTTTATTTCTGGTGCCGTTTGGTGTTTTGTGCCTCTAAAAACAAGATTTCTTTTCACAGGTGAACCTACCAGTAATGATTACCTTGTAGTCAGTTTCCCGGCCTCTGTTAAATGAATTCCCCAAATAGCCTGAACTATTTATAGTACATGTTATAAACCCTGACTATTGTCACCATTTTGTCATTACAGCAAAGATGGACAGAATAAACCGCGTGTAAATAATTTAACTACATAATAATTCAGATGGAAATATTACAGATTTGTTAAGGTTTAAATTTAGACTGATAAATCAGTTTTAATTGAAGTATTTCATTCTTATTTTTGTTCTAATTTAAGAAAACGAAAATATAAAATTATGGAAATTATGTTATAAATGGTTTAGATATTAAATTATTTTAACAGTCCGTTTGAAGTTATTGTACAAATCACATAAACCTCAATAACTCAAATTTGCATTGAACAATTTTAGTCAACTTTTAAACGATTAATTTAGACATCTTTTAAATTGAAACGATTAATTTAAACAACTTGTTTTGGCGTGTAAATTAATCGTTTCAAATTTGGCAAAAATTGTTCAAAAGAAATTTGAGGTTTATGTGATCTGTATATTAATTTAGACTGGACGTATATAAGCATTTTTTTAATTGCAAGAAAATGAATGAAATCAGGCAGAATGAATAAATACGATACAAACGGGAATACTTTTACAAATTTAACATGTTTCAACTTTATTTTAGCTTCATCAAAAAAATCTAGATGAAGCCAAAATAAATGCCAAAAATGTAAAATTTATAAATGTTTTCCGATTTGTTCTTTAATTAATCTTTTTTTTTATTTATATCGTATATGATAAGATTTTGTTTCACGACAAGAATACCTCCTGGCCAGCAGGATAAAGTAGAAACATTCCGGTTATTAATAGAATTAAAGAAATCCTCATTAAGGGATGGCAGCAATTAATCATTAATGGTTGCAACCTCGAAGATAAAATCAGGGTGCGTTGAAAAATATGCAATATGTTACTCCTATGAACGATGAGAATGAACACCGTATACGGATGATACCAAAAGACTTTCTATCGTATTCAACACCATTGAAGGGAAACGAAAATTATTCAAATGTCCGAGAGGAGATTATAAGAAAATTGACTATGGTGGGCACAAATTTCAAAGTAGAATGTTACCAATGCAATATATAGAAGGGGAAGAAGAAAATTTCCAAATATCATTGAAAATATAGATTAAATTAACAAATGTTAAAATGTATATTATCAAAGAATAAAGTTTGACTGGAGCAGAGTTCGCTGAGCTCAAAGGAAATGTTAAAACTAACATGAAAAATTTGTAAAAATCTAAAAGTGAATTGAAAAATATAGATTAAATCCGACAGAATTATTAAATAATGAACAGAAAGGTAAACGTTTATAAATTTAACGTATTTTGCTTTAATTTAGTAATTATTTGGGAGACTAAATATTGTATTTCGAATTCTCGGCTATTTATTTTCATTGTTCCGGTAGTTATCCAGAAAATGCAGGTTGGTATATTGAATAATAAGTAAAGGGAAAAGCAAATAAAGATAAGTATAAACTGAAAATATAAAGAAAAGAAACAAAATAGGTTTAGAAAGAAGAAAAAAAATACAGAGGAAATTGAGGAAATGAAAATAAATATAATTAGTAAAGCAGCAAAGGTAACAAAATAAGATATCAGAAAGAGAAAAACGTGACCAAATAAGGCATTGAAAATGAAAAACATTTTCAGAATAGCAGATAAATTAAAGAAATAGTGAAAAATATTGACTTGAATGACGTAATTGACTCTGCAGCAGTAGAATCATTATATCGATGCAAAAATGGAAAGGAACAAAAGTTAAGACAAGAAATAAACATAAATACCCATTATAGTAAAGAGAGATTGATAAAGATTGGAATTCTGCGGGGGGAAAAAACGCACAATATTAGATGAATTATCAAAAGGAATAAAAGTGAAACGCAAAAAAATTCCTAAAAATGAAAAGTAAATATAAAAGAAGAAAATGTCATACTAACTGTATAAATGGTCCTAAATCAATTCTTCAACTAAAAGCACAAAGTGAGGACATATTGGGAGATAAATACGTCTTATAAACAAAATAACATTCTCAAAACAGACAGAGAAGGATTCTACAGGGGAATGGAGATATTAATGAGGGTGACGGAAAAACGCCATCAACTGAAGAACTGAGTAATTTTAAAATTATTGAATGAATCAAGAACCCCGAACAGAAATATTGAAAGAGAGCTAAAGAACATGAATTGAGCAATACATTCATAGATTAAATTTTTACGGTTTATCAACCTTTTTCATGTTATTTAAAACCGGAACATATTTTTGGATTGTAAGAATTTGGTGGGAGGATAATAATAATGATATTCTGATATAATTACTGCTATTTTCGGAAATTTTCGATTTGTGGCAAGTCATGTCAGCACCTGAAATACTTCCGGATTTTGGAGATTTTACGGATTTTTGGAATTTCGGATAAAGCATACTCAACCTGTATTCAGATTAGATGGATAGAAAATTCTGGAAAAATTGAGATATATGTTACGGCATTATTGGGGTCTGCGAATCTAATGCATAAGTTACTGGACATTTGAGGAAGCTTGGTGTCCACCAATCTAAACTGTTGACCATTAGACATATGGTATGAATATACAAAAGCATGAAATATTATAATAGCAATCATAAATATGAATTCTGGCCGTTATTTTAAGAAGTAAGGGGGTACAAACGAAAAGATTTGAAATTATCAATTGTTTCTATTTCACTGAAACAGATATTAAACTCGTCTATCTTCCTTTCTTTCTATCATTTTATCACTTAAACCAAGTAGTGTTTTTGATATATTTTCTTCACCCGCGATCAGACGGAATAGTCCATTATTCATGAGGCATTAGAAGGAGACGTTGAACACTTCTGTCTTTATGCTTTTCACTGAAACAGAATGGCGTCGGTGATATGTCTTTTGTCTTTCCACGCGATCAAAACGGAATAGTAAATCATTTATGAAGTACTGACACGGCGAAATGGTCGTGCGAACTCATGAAAGGAGGGACAAACAAAATTAATATACGATAACAACAATGACATCAATGAGTGGAATATGGGTTTTAGAATCATGCCTTTAATAGTTAGATAGGTGACAAATACACTAGAATCAGGATTAGGCACAATTGTATAAAGAATTGAGAATGTCCAAATGAGGGCATTAATGAGTTATGTTAGAATACTGAGAAATGAGCCTGATATATTAGAAGAAATGCTGTCACGAGACCTTTATTAATAACTTCTAAATATCAAGTGTGAACATTAAATGCATGAAAGAAGACGAAGAAAAAGAAGAAGAAGAAGAAGAAGAAGAAGAAGAAGAAGAAGAAGAAGAAGAAGAAGAAGAAGAAGAAAAGGAAGAATCGTTTCAGTGATATGGAGACGTAAAAAGGAGACAATGATGATGGAAAAGAAAAAAGAATATTCGAAAATATAAAATGGAGAAAAGAAAAGAAAAAGAAAAGATTTAAAATGTCAGAAGAAAAGAAAAAAATGATGAAGATGAAGAAGAAGAAGAAAAAGGGGAGAAGAAGAAGAAGAAGAAAAGAAGAAGAAGAAAAATAAGAACAATAAAATGAAGAAGAATCGGAAAAATCCCAGTGAGAAGAAAAATAGAAGCTAATTAGAAACTGAATAAATGAAGAGAATCGACATCCTATGTCCGCTGATCGAACGGTAATAGCGATTGAAAATGAGAAAAGGCGAGACTTGCAGTTGCGATAGCTGTGTATGTAGAGGGGTTACAAGTTCTTGCTGTGGCGTTAAGGGAGCGTATGGATAATAATAATAATAATAATAATAATAATAATAATAATAATAATAATGCAATATAATGATCTGAGATTTTTTTTCTTCATCACTGCCAATGACAATGGCAGCCAGAGAATTGACAATCAGGGTTTCGGTTATCAGATCAGGAATTCGCAGTCCACTTCCCCACACCGGGATCCTAACATTACCCCCAAAACCTCCAACCTCCTTCACCCCCGGAAAATCCTCTGTTTCCCACCTCCACCCGTAAATCCTTTTTCTGTTCGACAAAACATTATCTCCTCCCTACCAACTTTATAACCTGAACGGGACACTGATGCTCTCATTTTATTATTAGTAAACCCCCTATTTTAATGATACTTTCTTACACACTCTCTCCATTTCTCTCTCTTTTATCCCTCTCTCTCACTCCTTCTCTTCTTCTTTCACCGTCTCTCTCTTTCTTGTTTTTTTCTCTTTCTCTCACTTTTTCATCGCTTTCTTTCTCACTCTTTCTCTCTCCCTCTCTCACTCTTCGTCTCTCTCTCTCTTCCTCCTTGCTTCTCGTTATCTCTCCCTCTCTATCTATCTCTTTCTTTCTATCTCTCTCGTTCTCTCTTCCTTTCTATCTCTCTTGTTCTCGCTCTTTCTATATTTATCTCGCTGCTGTTCTCATCCTATCTTTCTCCTTTCTCTTGTTCCCTCTCCCTTTCTCTTTCCGCACTATATATATATATATATATATATATATATATATATTATTAATATTATTATTATTATTATTTTATTATTAAGGCACATCAATTTTTTGAAACAAACACACACACACACACACACACACACACACACACACACACACACACACATATATATATATATATATATATATATATATATATATATATATATATATATATATATATATATATATATTCAGGCCAGTAAATGTTATTTAATACTGTTTATCCTAAACAGAGCATTTACTTAAATACTTGTATCTATAAAAGAATGTTAAACATAAAATGTCTTTAATAAATTGTCGGATTTTGGCCATTTCTTAATGCATATATATATATATATATATATATATATATATATATATATATATATATATATGATACAAATAAAATTTGTCAATTGATAGATATGATATTCATCACCTCAACTCCAGAGATTCAACGACGAATTTTACGTGATTGTTCAAACCACTCGTCACGAGGTTTCAGAGGACTGAAGAAAATTTATTCTACTGACTTACAGAAATCTGCACAGCTCTCTCTCTCTCTCTCTCTCTCTCTCTCTCTCTCTCTCTCTCTCTCTCTCTCTCTCTCTCTCTCTCTCACACACACACACACACATGTCGGCAGAATATATATTTTTCGCCATTTATCTTACGGCCATATAGCATTTAAACACCGGGTATCATACGATCAGTTAAGCAACGTCGCGCTTGGTCAATAACTAGATGTGTAGCCGCTTGGGAATACCAGGTTTTGTAAGCTAACATGTGGGATTGGTGTTTCGGATAAAGGTTCGGAATTGTTAATCGGAGAACCGAGTTCGAATTTCAGTTGGATTCGTTACATTCACTTACGCAAGAATACCCTTGGCGAACGTATGAATCCACTGCTTGACCCCCCAAATATGGGTTAATTAGTAAGACTTGTATTACTGAACCATTATTATCTTCCCGCACCACCCTTCCCCCGAAAAGTTCTTGCAATCTAAAAATACGTTTCGGATTTAAATAACGTTAAAAAGGTTGATAAACCGTAAAAGATTAATCAATCTATCAAAGCAAACAATAAAAAATGGCTCTGATCATATATGTATATTTTTTTAACAATATTGAATCTATTTGCTCTCTGGTTATCCTGTTTTAACACTGAAGGAATACAAAATCTAAATGATTGTTGCTGATTGATTTGTTTTTACGGTTTATCAACCCTTTGTAAAGCCAAAGAATATTTTTTCAGATTGTAAGAATATTGTATTATGGTATAATGGCTAATAGCTCGGAATTGTTTATAGAGGAGCGGAGTTCAAATTCCATCTGATTTCGTTAAATTTCTTTACGCACAAATACACTTGGGAAAGTTCCACTGTTTCTCCCCCAGCTATGGGTTCATTAGTAAGACGTGTATCCTTAAATCATTATTATCTAAAAAAAAAACTTCTTACAATCTAAAAATATTTCCTGGTTTTAAATAACCTGCAATGGGTTGATAAACTGTAAAAAACACATCATCCAATTCATTCTTTCATGTTTTTCCCATTATTTCATATATTCAGACTTTTCTTACTTTCTTTATCTGATTTTTCTTATCTCCTTTTTTTTATCCTTATTCTTTATTTCATTCGTCTATTTCCTTTAATTTTTCTCTTTATCTTTCATCTCACTGATGTATTTTAATTCTTTTCCACGCTATTTAAATCCTTTTTTCCTTTACAATTCTATTTTTCTTCTCCCAAACCGCACAAGACCTCTGTATATGAAAAATAACTCTTGTCTTTCTTTTCTCTATTCAAGTTAACCATTTCCATCTTTGTCTTATTTTGTTATTGCGAGGCTGTTCATGAAACAAGTTCCTTCATTTAATTTGTTCTGTTTGTTTTATATTTTTATTTTTTCCTTTCTTTTCATTTTTTGGAAGCGGTTTTTTATTATATCTTGTAACGTTTTATTCTTTTTCATATTTCTTTTTCATTTAGATGTCCACTTCTTTTTTTATGTTATTAATTTTTCATTCTTTATTTCGGTAATCCAATTCATATTGTTTTTTTTTCATTCTTTTCCATATTTTCTTTATTTTAACCCTTTTAAGATTCCTGTTCTTTAGGCAAATAAAACGACTCAATCATCTTCCCAAATTCAAATTTCTTTTTCTTGCCCTCTTCCTTAACTTTTTTTTTATTTTTGTTTTTCTTTTCCGCTTCTTTTCATTCAATATAACATATCCACATATTTTCGTCGGTTTTTTGTTCTGAAATCATTTTTCGTTCATTCCAAATATCTATGCTTCCTCCATTTAATCATTTCATTCAGCGCTTGTATTTCATTCATTCTAATATAGTTTTACCCCTTTTTGCTTTCATTCTTTTTTATCTTTTTTCCGTCCTTTTCCCTATAATATCACATTTTCGTTTCTTTTTACGCCCTCACTTTCCTCCAATTTTTTTTTTCGTCTCTGCAGATATCGTATTTTCTCTAAAGAACAACTATTTCTCATTCTTTCTCCGCAATCCAAGCCACAATTTTTAATTACCTCTGCCCACCCCATTAGTGTCATCAGCGGTGAATGCGGACACACAAAAGACTAACGTTACCGGAACGAAGAAAACATGTGGGGTCTGTGCTGTCCGCCATCTTTTACAAATGGCGCAATAGAAAAAAAAACGACAACCATCTCTTATCGGCTTTTACGAGTGACCACCACAAGAAGAGGGTTTTGTAAGGACATTATTAATGTCTATTATTGCAGCAGGGCATTATTCTTCGATAAGAGTCTATGTCGATCTGGATACGTGTCTGAGGATGCTAAAAAGTGCTTCTTTTGCAGTCTCTATTCATCTAAGTGTGCTCACGATTTTATGAGTTGGTCTCTACATTCCTTTTTCGGTTAAACATTTTTATACGATTTTACGAGTTCATTACATTGCAGATATGCCTAATATATATATATATATATATATATATATATATATATATATATATATATATATATATATATATATATATTGTGTATTTAAGCAGTAATCCCTCTTTTATACATGTTTGGTTAATGTGATTAACAATTTTGTTTCATTTTTCTTGTGTCCGTACAGTGTTTTCTTTTCTGGACACAAAGTGTACAATCTACATATTCGAGCGCTTTCGGCTATATATTATCAAAGACGATTTTAGTTTTACTTAACTGAATGTATGGGTTGTGTTATGTATCTAGAGTTATAGGGATGTTTTTTTTTCAATCACTGTAAGCACGCGGTGGCCGTGTTCATTGAGTGTTGGCTTTTTTTTTTCTTTTTTAATATTAGGGCTTCCATTTTTTATGTTTTTTTTTACATATGGATAAAGTTATTATGCTTGAATTTTCTAATAGTATGTTTCGGATGGAGTCTGGTAGGTTTTTCTGTGCTCTTAAATGAGTTTTAATGGAGCCGTGGTCAGACAGGTGTAACGTAATAGGCATGTAGTAGTGTGACCAATGTAATTATTTATGTGTTTGGTATGATCAGCAACACAGTGACTTAAGGGTAATTTGAACTCGTAAATAATGTTGGTCCTTTGTAGTTTTAATTTTACAGGTTTATTTTATGAAAATGTTAGCTGTTTAAAATTTTTGTAAGAGATAATTAGTTTAATTTTCTTGTTCAGGTCGCTTTGGGTAGTGATTTCTTTAAGATATTACTAAGTGAATATTCCACTTGTTTATAGTTGACGTGTATTTGACTTTTGTAGAGGATGTTAATATTAATGTTTATATATATATATATATATATATATAGTATTGATCGACGTTACAAATTACGAATAAGCCTTCTCAGACAAGAGGGAAATTCCGTGAGAAATATTCCGAAGTGCATATTCCCGTATTCAAATATATAAGTATATACAACCACATTTACATAGATATAAAGAGGTGCATACAAATGTTTTATTGAAGATAATGAGACAAAGTGGAAAAGATATATACGACGCGTTTCGTCGTGGTCGTCTGCTCTGTCTGGCCTGTTCCAGTTAGAATTAAAGAAGAACAAAACTGTATGTAAGTAAAAAGCGTTAGAATCTCTGAGAATAAGTGGAAACCACAAATCAAGTTACCTTATCACATACGATGTCCATATCCAAGAGAGTGTCTGTCTTCTTGTTTGATATATATATATATATATATATATATATATATATATATATTAGAACTATTTATTATCCGTTAAAATTCAGGAGAGATTTTATGTATATACTTGTACATATAACATGTACGCAAAAAACATTAATCCGTACACAGCTATTCCTACAATAAAAACAAAAAATAATTAAAAGTGTAATACATATATATGTACACATATATATATACATATATACACGTATATACACACGCACACATAAATATATATACATAGATATATGTACACATACATATGCATGTATATATATGCAACTCCCAATATAGCCAATAGTTATGTCTTAACTATAATTTATTCACGCATTACACAATTATATATGTACACACGCAAAAAACATATGACTAATATAATCACATATACAGATATACTTTTTAAAACAATAACAACATATTAAAGATTACTTATTATAGATTATAGACTAATATCATAAACGCACATACAAAAAAGAATACACTCATACATACTAGCAGCTATACATTCACACATCTAAATCTGAGCGTAAAAGAAAAATGTTACATATATATATATATATATATATATATATATATATATATTTGTTGGATAGATGTAAGTTTGTGACCCTGGGTTTCACGCTTTAGCGATCGTAAAGCGTGAAACCCAGGGTCACAAACTCACATCTATCCAACCAAATATGTTAACTCTATCTCTGATATTGAGCGCTTTCTAATAAGTACGCATATAATATATAAATAATTATACATATATATATATTTATTTATATTTATATTCACTTTTCACATATATATATATATATATATATACGAAAAGTTTTTAAATTTACAAAATTACAATACCATCATATATGGCAAGTACTGAAATCAATATGGTTCAACATTTTTCATTTATTTTTATGCCTACATATGACAATTTATTTTGTTTACTAAATTTGAGTTATTTATATTTTTTTCCAATGGTCATTTTTTTCAATAAAGCAAAGATTATATCTTTCTCCTTGACAGTTTAGTTCTTGCCATCATTATGTGGTTGGGCTTCACTATCTTTTATTTGCCAGTAACAATTAGAGAGAGATGTATTATTTTTGCATTTAGCGTTACTTAAGCTTAATTTGTGGCTGGAAAATCTCTGTTTCCCCTCTGTTTCTGCTGAAGAGATATAAAATTTTTGCTGCGTATCATATTGTATATTAGCGTTTATAAGTCAAATATTAAGCGATTATGTGACAGTTATTATTTCGACATTTTTTGCTTTCTCCTTCCTCAATATTGTGATTTTTACAATTTATAAGTTCCAAGATAATTGGTTTATGTTACTGGTATTATATAATATATATTAGTTTTATATTAATTGTTTTATGTTATAGGTTTTATATATTATATTTTATTTAGAATAGCGTGCATACAAAGACTCTAAATTCTTTAGGCTGCTGTCATTAAAAAGAAACAATCAAAATTAAAGGTATATTTCAGTTTGACTTTCTAAATAGTATAACCTTGAGGGACTTGAAATTGGTTCCATCCTGCTTGGTATATTGTTTTGCAAGTAATTGCTCTTTAATGGACATTCGATCTTTGTTCAGAAAAAAAAAAAAATATATATATATATATATACATCAATGAAAAACGTCAGGAAAACTATGTAGTTTAAGCCAACCCGAACTACATACAGTTTTCTTGTTGTCTATTTTTTTTTCGCTTTGTACCTATTGTCTTTTACTACAGATTAATTCTGAGAAGTTTTTACATAAATACAACATATACACATCATACAGAACAAAAAGCCAACGTAAAAATAAACATTATAATATTCATTAAGTTCATACACACTTTCCCCCGTCAAGCACGCTCCACAAGATATTCAATAAAAACACGGTAAAAATCAGTTACATTTGCATAGATAATAAAAAACAAATAATACATATTTATTAAAGACATTTTTATTTATTTTTTAAATATTTGTTCATAGACAGGATTCGAACCTGCATCCTATACGGAACTGTCATATACGCTGACATGCCTTAACCACTCGGCCACCATGAACCTTATGGTAATTGTCTATGAACGAATATTTTCTATGAAAATTTCTCGGACATTCAGGCCGGTAAATGTTATTTAATACTGTTTATCATAAACAGAGCATTTGCTTAAATACTTGTATCTATAAATAACAACGTTAAACATAAATAAAAATGTCTTTAATAAATAAATTGTCGGACCTTGTCCATTTCTTAACATATGACGTCATTTGTTTACATTCGATACGCCAGAGCAGTTATGAATGTACGAGATTCATGGAAGATTGTAGTTTATAACAGTAAATTCGACCTTGTCTACAATAAGGTTCATGGTGGCCGAGTGGTTAAGGCATGTCAGCGTATATGACAGTTCCGTATAGGATGCAGGTTCGAATCCTGTCTATGAACGAATATTTTCTATGAAAATTTCTCGGACATTCAGGCCGGTAAATGTTATTTAATACTGTTTATCTTAAACAGAGCATTTATCTATGCTCTGTTTAAGATCTATAAAATAACAACGTTAAACATAAATAAAAATGTCTTTAATAAATAAATTGTCGGACCTTGTCCATTTCTTAACATATATATATATATATATTCTTGGTAAAATATATATATATATAGTTAAATTCCCAGATAATTCTGTGGACAATTTTATTTTAATGTAACTATAACAACAAAAACATTTCGATTTCATTTTGCCTTGAAAAAAAGTCGGAAGACGAAACGCGTCGGCAAAATGTATGATTTTTCAATTGTCATTTGATGCCATATTATATATATATATATATATATATATATATATATATATATATATATATATTCTGTTATATAATAAATAAATTATAGTTATGGAACATAAGGTTGTCTATTTCTTAATTATTTAATTATTATTTGCTCTGGTTTTACATTGAGCTCTCTAGATCACATCCTCTTTAGAATTATCCACACTGATTACCAAACCCTTCATTACCTTACTATACTATACTCTATACATATATATATATGTGCGTGTGTCGGTGTGTGTCTGTGTGTGTGTGTGCGCGTGCGTGTGTGGTGTCCATAAATATGTGTGTTTGTGGATATCCATTGCTCGTTTCATGTACACACATATATATATACCATCAAATTTACGTTCACTGCGCTATTTCTTAAATAAATTCTTGGAATGGCCATGAATTTTTGATAAGCGCTTTTGATATTTATTTATAGGAGGGAAATCTTATTTCCATTTTCCTGGGGATAAAAATATTTTTTTTTTAATAAATAACAAGATACTGATGACAGAAACGCAAAAGTTTATCGGTAGACTTTTATTTTTCATTAGGTGTGACGTCGTGGCGACTCTCAAAACTTATAAATATGGAATTAAAATATTATAAATTTCAGATAAACTATACCCATATTTTTTTTATCTTTTGATGTCGATAAAATAGTTGATTATCTGAAATGTTTCTGAATCTAGACATGTCTAATGCCTTCTTGTCAAAGTAAACATGAAAAGTTTTTAAAAAATGAAGGATTTCTACTTAAATAAACATTTTACACAGGAATACATATATACACACACAGAGACTCAAACACACACAGATAGATAGATAGATAGATAGATAGATAGATAGATAGATATTGATAACTATATATATTACATTTTTTTAAGCATTTCACCCCAAGCAAGGCCACTAGCACGCAAGGGGTTACAGAGAATGGGAGCGAGAGTGAAGAGGCATGATAAAGGAAAGAATGAAGAGAAGGGCTGGAAATGTCGATTGACATTACATTTGAATAATTGTAGATTATAGCTATCAGGGAAAACAAGTAATAGGAAAGCAATTCCAAAGACGGGTGGTGCGAGACATGAAGCTATTGGAGTAGAAGAGACAGCTACGTTTAACTGTTTCGACAGTCAAACGGTGGGACCGACATGCCAGCCTAGTAGCACGTTTAAATCATTTAAATTCATTCAATCTGGGAACTAACGAAAGTAGCTCGTCGAAGTTACCGTGAAAGTATTTGTAGAAAAGACAGAAAGAGGCGACGACAGAGAGAGCGACTGTAGCCAAGATGACAGATCAGGACCAATCACATTGTACATCCGTCTCTGGATTTTGCCTACGTTAGTTTTACGACTCAGTTTCATGTGTGTACAATCGTCAGATACTAATAACTTTTCTATACGTATGTTTTCGAAAATTCTAGGTCTCTCGGGAATGACACTATACAGTATATTGATACAAACGTTATTATTATAATTATAATTTAATATTAGGCTATAAATGAAAAACAATAGTGTGTGGGTAAGGAAATACGTATATGAAGATCTGAGAGAAGGAGAAGAAATAACGGAAAGGGATGGAAAAAGAAAAATGAAAGAGAAAAGAAAAAAGAAAGAGAAAAGATAGATAGAATTATAGGCCAAATTAAAATAAATAGAAATATAAAGTTAATATTGAGTTAGTGCGAAATAAATATAAAAATAAAAAGAGGAAAACTAAAATATAAAAATAGGAATATATAATAACAGATGAATGGGATGAGTCATTCGATACGTTTTCTTTTTCAAATACTTTGGATCACGTGGAAGCAACGTCATATTGTAAATTAATTCAACGTGTAATATTTGAAGTAAAATCTAATATAGGACAAATGTAAAATTATACAATAAACAATAAAATATATAATGGTTGTTCATATGAAAATACAAATAGTTGTTCATATCTCTTTATTTAATTCATATTTATAATTATACATATATATATATGTATAATATATATGTACACATATGTATGTGTGCTATATGTATGGGATAAAGTGCTCAATATCAATATTCAAGTCACTGCTTCAAGTCACTTCTTTATCTGAGAGGAGGGGGTCCAGCATTCACTGCCAGATATGTAAATGGCACAGCCACTCGTATCCGAGGATAGCAGTCTACTAGCTAATCTCAATTTAAGGCACCTGCTCAGGTACATTTGTGTTTGTTCAACACCGACAGAGCCCACCTGTGTTTCATACTGCAATTATGTTAAGCGGACCTTAGTTACAGAGAGAGAGAGAGAGAAAGAGAGAGAGAGAAAAAGAGAAAGAGAGAGCGTTATCTAGTGTGATCAACAGTTTGAACAAGGCTATCAAGTTCAAACTCTCGGTCACGATGGCTTGTGACTTCGTTCTAGTACAACCACCGAAAACTCCCAAGTGGTTAGAACGTTCGATTTGTGTTGTGGCCTTGTTAGGACCAGAAAGAAATGCACAAAAAGAGGAATTGAGTTAAACAAATATATTAACAGAAACATTAATATAAACATATACAAATGAGAGTGTTACAGCAAGAATGTTTAGTTCGACTGTCAGAGCTGGCTGCTGGAAACTTCACCCCTGTAAATGGTTGGCAGAACAAGGAGTAGGAAAGATAGCAAAAACACAAACATTGTTAATAACTACAAAGAACAGGAAATGGATTGCCCACGTTGTGAAGAGATGCAGTACATAAGAGATGAAGAAAAGGGTTTTTAAAATTTGGATTATTTCCGAGTGTTAAATGATGTACCAAAGACATTGAATTTAAAACAAAAGATTCTCAGTCTAGTTCATCCCAACCATGATCGAATTTATGAGTCATTAGAATCGAGTTTTGTACCTTGCAAGCAACGGTGCAATTTTGTGGGAAGAAATATTGTTTTTTTCAAATTCATAGTCTTATACATCTCCGTGGGTGATAGAGACAAGCCTGGTGGGCTGCTAACGTAAGTTAACAATAACGAATGAGGAAAATTAAAAATATAAACAAGTCCAACCGAACAGATTTTGCGGTGAAGATTTCCGTTCATCGATATTCAGTATTACCGAATTTGCTATGCTGAGCCAAGTCTGGCTTAAGGACAAATATATGGAGAGCTAAGAAGAATCGTTCATACCTTTAGTATAATTCAAAATGAAGTTTATCTTTTTAATAAGTAGGAACGCTCTACATTTTTCGATGATCTTCAAATCTCAAATAAAATTTGGACAACAAAATGCTATATTCAAACTTTTGGAATATTAATACAATTATTATTACTATTATTATTATTAGTAGTAGTAGTAGTAGCAGCAGCAGTAGTAGTAGTAGTAGTATTAGTGGTAGAAGCATTATGCTTGTGTAGCGCAGATTGATTTAGTCAATGAAAATTGCTTTCTTGAGGCATGTAGTCAACAAGACTACTCACAACTAAAGAACTTTTCAGAGAATTATGCCAAAAAATGGTAATTTCCTGAAGGTCTATAATCTTGGTCCCAATTCCAATTCCCTGTAAGCGCTTTATTCAGTTTTCTAGGTCGTTTCCAAGCGCACCCATTACTACAGGAAGTAGTTCAGCTCCGCAGCCATATCCTGGCATTTTTCCTTCTTTTCTGTTACTTTGGCGTCCATTTGTATCACAGGGAACAGCAAAGTCTATAATTTGACACTTACTATTCTCCCCTTATCTATAAAAGTAAGGTCAGGTCATTGTGCTTCATTGACATGATCTGCCTGTGATAAGAAATTCCATAATATCTTGTGACAGTCATTTTCTACCACTGCCTCTGGCTGATGTTCTCTTTTACTCTGCAGCAAAATTTAAGGCATAATTCCCAATGGATTCTCTTACCAGTCTAGTCATATTACTTATATTTCTTCCGTGCCAACTTGAGACATTCAGCGAATATGTGGCTGTCTCATTCATATTCCTTTTTGTGATCTGTCTATCTTGTTTCCTCATCCATTCTCAGGGACTGTTCTTGCGTACTGTGACACTGTTTCTCCTTTTATAGACGCCACTTCTCGAGTTCAGTAATTTTCTTTGTTTGCAGAAAAAAAAACCTGACCATGAAGATTTCTTTTCTCTTAACTTGTCATACCGATTCTCCTTAAAATACTTCATTGTTACATTTCGCCAGAAACAGTTAATGAGAAATTTTAACATAATTCACAAGTCTTCTTTCTTTGAATAAACAGCGTATAGAAATTTTCTGTGAGTTGTGTCCCTTCAAAACATCGGTCATCATGGCTTTCCACAATTTTCTGTCCTTCGAAGATTTTAACAAATTTTTTTGTTATTTCTCTTGTACCGCCATCCGTTTATTTACGCATACTATGTATGTTATGTTGTTACCTATGTCCCGCTTACCTTCAATCTGTCCTGTGAGTATCCAATTTTTTTTTGTTCATTATGTGCCCTAGAAATTTCAACTTCCTCTTCTTGATATTAAGTATGAGTTTCCTTTTTGTTTAAATTTTCTCTAAAAATTCATACTTGCTTACATCACCGGTTGATGGCGTCCCCATCATCCTCCTGTATAACCATATTTCTGCTACTTCAATCTCCTCTACATTTCTGAAGAGATTGTCCAGCGTTTACTGCAATACTGAAGGACTGATATTACAGAACTGTTCAGTACACTTTTCTTTGTTTCTAACGAAATCTTTCTGTTTCTTAATATTCTGCATAGCTTTTCGAAGGTATCTTTGACCATGCCAACGCGTCTTCAGACTTTGGTGGCGCACTTTCTATCGTCGGTTAGAATATGCAATATTGCAATATTGGGATGTTCCTTTTGCTGACAACCAGGAATTCTATCTTCTTGCCCATTCTTCTCGCTTTCCTGCATTAGGTTCTGCAAGAGTTCTTGTAGTTTCAGTTCTGCATCTACTATAAACACTGTGTCACCTGCATATCTTATATTGTTAATATTGTGGCTGCTATCACTGTTTGGATTCAGATCCTTATTTCTAACGAAATCTTTCTGTTTCTTAATATTCGGCATAGCTTTTCGAAGGTATATTTGACCATGCCAACGCGTCTTCAGACTTTGGTGGCGCACTTTCTATCGTCGGTTAGAATATGCAATATTGCAATATTGGGATGTTCCTTTTGCTGACAACCATGAATTCTATCTTCTTGCCCATTCTTCTCGCTTTCCTGCATTAGGTTCTGCAAGAGTTCTTGTAGTTTCAGTTCTGCATCTACTATAAACACTGTGTCATCTGCATATCTTATATTGTTAATATTGTGGCTGCTATCACTGTTTGGATTCAGATCCTTATGCATATTCATCAACTTACGCCTTCTTCTACCCATTTTTACTAATTCTGTATTATTCTAATCTAAGATGGTTCAGATTATCTTAGATTGGCCAAGTATTCCACCATTATTATTATTATTATTATTTATTATTATTATTATTATTATTATTGCCTTTGAGTTGACCCAAAGTTTTAATCACAGGCATAAAGATACAAACAGATTAGGTGTTATATGTCGGGCAAAAAAAAAACGTAACTGAAGTCACTACAAGAGAAAAATCTATGTAGCATGCGAGGAGTACAAATGAATATAATTTCTTGCAAGTCATACATTATAGGACTTCCAGTAATTTTGATATAATTTCCAAAACATGAATAAGAACAGGTAATATTGATGTTTTCAGATGCCACATTCATTCCGGACGTCGTTGTATTTACTTAGTTTCTCAAACGTTTTCAAAGATGTGCTATTGTCGACTGCGACTGCAACATCTATCAGAAGTGTTTTCAATATGCTTTTTAATAATTATCTCAATTATGTCTGGTCGATAGTATTATTATTATTATTATTATTATTATTATTATTATTATTA